AGATAGATAGATAGATAGATAGATAGATAGATAGATAGATAGATAGACAGACAGACAACATTTGTGGGACATTGCAGGGAATATGTTGCAAGGAAAAAAGAACCTGTATAAGTAAACATAAAGAGAAAAGATAAAGACCTGAAAACAGTTTTAAAAATTCTAACACAAAATAGCATAGTAAATCAGTGGTGGCATCAACACAAAGTTAAATGACCATATATGTAAGTTGCATTAAAAAAAAATTACCTAGCCATTTTTATGTTTCTGTTTTTTTTTAAATACTGAATTAGTTTCAGTCCTCCACATATTTAATTGGATTAAATGAAGGTGACAATTAGTCAGGTTAATCAAATGAATGTTTTCTTTTATAGACAAGACCATTGTCTTATGACTAATGTGCGGCCAGCTGTAAAAAAGAAAAAAGGAAAAGTACGATAACAAGGTCTTTCTTTGTTCCCTCGGAGGACATGAGACATCTTAAATTCATGAACTAAGCGAGCGCTGATCGGGATGTTGTTGTTTTTTTGCTGGCACGTGTGGGTGGCGAATGGGGCGTCGCATTGTCTCCCAGCATCCAACGGAAGTGCGTCCCATCTGGAAGCCGATTTATTCACAGCGAGCATGCCCATTTCATCCATTTATCGTATTGGAAATGCATATTTAAGTATCTAAAAGACGACATCGCTTTTGTGGTTTCTCAGAATGCAATCCGCCCCTGATACTTCACTGTTTTTCGCCACATTCACATGCCGGGTCTCTCTGTGCATATGTGTGTCAGGCTCCCCTCATCTCTAATGTATGTTCAAGGAGTCAAACATCAGTCAATAATTAATCAAGTATTCAAATCTAGTTTCATGCTTGAATTAAAGTGAAACTGATAAAGTGTTGGCCTGGTTTTGCTAATGCTTCTGCTCATGTGAGAGCAACGTCTGCTGTGAAATCTTTTTATAGGGGGAAGTCTGTTCTGTTGTGAGTTATCGAACTGGCAAGGGCCGTCAGAAAACGGAAAGGGGGTGGCATCCCGGTCTTTGAAACTTTTATGAACCCGTGCATTTGCTCGCCTACGTTCGGGATATATATGGCGAACCATATGTGCCGATTGTTACTTTTTCTTGGTTTTAAAGGCATGGCTGCAACAAGCCCCGCAGGGGGGGTGTCATTTAAAATTCTTCAAAGGCTGAGGTAGCAAAGCGTGCACAAGGAGGGGCTCCCTTCTCAAATAGTGGATAAAAACCATCATCGTTTCTTATTCATGCAGACGGAGCGTGCCTGAAAAAGATGCTCAAAGGTTGTTTAGTCGTTGTTTAGTCTTAGAGGAATACTGAGACCTCTCTCCTCTGTTCCACTTTACATTAAAAAAACAACCACTGAGGGAGTCATATCAGTGTCCAGTCAGGGAACGGGAACGCTGACGGACGGATGGAGTTTCAAGGCCTGATTTTCCTTCAAAACGGGAAAACCGACATCACCTGGAACCCGCCAAGGTGCTTCTCACCTCATCGATGGCCTCCGATCATAAGAGACTCGAGATGGAAAGATGGAAAATAATCAGAACCCACCAAAGAGTCTTAAAAATGAATGATTTCATATATAACAGTCCCCTTTGCTGGGTGTGAGAAATGAAAAAAAGAGGCAAAAACATCCCCCTGACATGAGGAATTACATTTAGGTTTACTGCCAAACAGAAGTCAAAGGAAAAATATTAAATGAAACTGAAGACTTTTTATTACTTCCTGAGGTTTTTTTTCTTTTTAAAGGGAACCTAAATCTCCACAGGAACTTCCATTCCACCAGAAGTCATGCACATCCATAATGAGCAGAGGCCTGGCCTTATGTAACACACTCAAAGACTGGAGTACGTCAAGGTTGTAGAGGGTTAGCTAAGTCCAGCGGTCCCATCTGACCTGTGCCCGCATGAGCGACCCCGGTCATTAAGCCCCCGTTTGGAAAGCTGACCCCCCTCCCCATCAATGGGCAGGGAGTAAACTGGGAGGGCCGGTCACTAATTTGGGACAACACGTCTTTGTCACAGCTTTGTGGGCCTGTGTGTGAGGAGTACAAACGCACACACTCACACACACACACACACACACACACACACACACACACACACACACAC